GAAAAGAGTTTTTCCCAAAATTTTTTGGAAGCCATATTTGCAGGAAATGAAACCAGGGAAGCTACTGAAAATAAGACCTTAGAAAAACAAATTTACGATCCTGCACCGAATATGGCTGTTGTGCCGATGGCAGTCACAAGTGAGAACGACTTGACGTTCGTTAAGACATTGCCTAAAGAGCGAAAAGTAAGCTTCAGGATGAGCATCTTTGATAAACTCATGACAAAACAAGAAGATTCTACAAAAAAAAACGATGCGAAGCCAAGCAATGGCAGACCCGTAGATGACATAAGCGAAGAGGATGGTCAGGGAGTAACGGAAAATGGGCAACAAAAGTCAGAAGAATACAACCAAGGTCACGAACTGAACTTTGGTCTTGTCAATCAAGGATTCGATACAAAAGAAACACAGTTTAACCAACATTCTCAAGATGTTAGCCAGGATGAGGGAAAAGCTGTGCCATCTGTTGCTTCTGATATTGAATCTGCTCAACCACCAACATTCGTTAAGACATTGTCTAAAGAGCAAAAAGTATGCTTCAGGATGAGCATCTTTGATAGACTCATTACAAAACAAGAAGATTCTACAAAAGAAAACGATGCGAAGCCAACCAATAGCAGACCCGTAAATGACATAAGCGAAGAGGATGGCCAGGGAGTATTGGAAAATGGACAACAAAAGTCAGAAGTGTACAACCAAGTTTACAAACTGAACTCTGGTCTTGACAATCAAGGATTCGATACAAAAGAAACACAGCTTAACCAACATTCTCAGGATGTTTGCCGAGATGAGGGAAAAGCTGTACCATCTGTTACTTCTGATATTGAATCCGCTCAACCACCAAAACCAAAGGCAGCGAAAACCTGGCTCAAAGATCCTCATTTGTACAAGGTAACTTAATTTCGGGTATAATTAAAAGGTCTCTAAAACTCTCTCGTTCTTTCCTGGCTAATTTTGATTTTTTCTTGTATGTAATTCGAATCCTCATGTGTACCTGCAATGTAATCTTCAGCTTTCACACTAAAAAATGAAGGAATATAATTTGTAGTTTGTTGTAAGAAATTCAAGCGAGCCTATTGCAAATGATCCTGGGAGAAACATACACCAGGAACCACATGATTTTTCTCTCCACCATTAAAATGCGTTGGACAGATTATGAAACCGACCATGAGATTTCAAAAGGTAACCTAACTTCTCGAAAATTGTCTATAAAGGTGCTGAAAATCTGACTCCTATCCCGCTACGTTTGGCCTCTTACCTGTGACGTGAATAAGTCTCAGAATTCATGTTTCCTCTCCATGACGATTTCTATGCATAATTAAGAGTTCTGAAAAAAATTAAATTTTTAAATAACAAAAACTTTGGTGTTTTTGCAATAACCAATGTAGCCACTATTTGTGAGCCGCGCGTTA